GGCGCTGCGGATGTTGGCGCGGACGGAGGAGGAGGAGGCGGCGGCGGTGGAGCCGAGGACGGTGCTGCGGCTGGCGAAGGGCGGCTGGGCGGAGGCGGCACGCCTCTGGATGGGAGCGATGGCGCTGCAGCACTTGGCGGAGGCGGCGGTCCACGAGGCGGAGCGGGACGACCACCGGCCGGAGGCGGCGGCGGCGGAGGTGGTGCCGACGATGGGGCAGGACGAGACGAGGGAGGCGCACGGGGCGCGGCGGCGGCGGCGGCGGGTGGCGCAGGAGGTGCACTTGCGCCTGGTCGCGATGGAGGCTTGCCCAGACTCGTGTTGATGGTCGAGCCCGCACCGCCACTGGGTTTGAGCTTGGGCATGCCATCTGCGAAGAGGCCACCTAGGCCTGGGGGGCCACCGAGAGCTGGACCGCCACCGGAAGAGATGGCTGAACCACCGCCTCCGCCACCTCCTCCGCCGCCTCCACTGCTTTTGGAAGCATCGATCTGCGGGGCAGAGCGGTCATTGGTCACCGCCTCTGTTGGATGAGCGAACAATCAAGAAGCAGAGGCAACGGACGGATCAGCAGACGCTTTTGAACGGTAGAGGAATGAAGCTACTCACTCTTGAGACCTTTGCCCTTTTGGATGGACGAAAGCAGTTCGGCGTTCATCTTGGCGGAGCGTCAGCAGAACGCTGAGGGGCGCAACTAGGGTGCGACGGAGAGCGCGCGCGCTGCGAGGGTGTCGGTCGTACAAGCCTGTTTCGGGATGAGACGCCTGGCCGCAAAGCGATCAGCAGTGTGGATGGACTCGAGCAAGCTGGATGGAAGATGGAAGACCGATGTCGAGACGGTGTCGACTGAGCTGCGAGGAAGCGGCGTGTGGAGGCACGCAGGGGCTGTGCTGCCCTGGCGCTTCTTTGTGGCCCGTGTGACCGGCGCCGGTTCCGAGGTCGGAATGCTGACGGTGCCATCGAGCGTCAGCGCGGGCGATCTTGTTGAATGCGCCCGATGCAAAATGAAGCTGATTACGATGTTACTTTGGTGGTGTAACAAATTCAAAGATTCGGATCGCCTTCGGCGGTGTTGTCAAGGCTGAGAAGCTTTGATTCAGAGACAATGCGGTCGACAGGCGGCCCGTGCTTCGATGCAAGGCCCCGAGCGATCCGAGAGGCCGCGATGCACCGAAGGACCGAGCAGAGCGGAACGGAAGCTGGCGTTGCCGGAGAGGGGCTTGGACGCGAAGCGAGGGTCTAGCTTTCGGTAGGGGTTTTAGCGTGCGAGCGTGCGAGCGTGCGAGCGAAGAGCAGGAGGCTTGAGCGCCGTCCGGGCTTTGCTCACGCTTGAGCAGCTACAGCACGAGGATCTGTGTGTCGCTGGCCGCTTTTGGTGACACCTGAATAATTTAGGCGATGCATCGGTTGCACTAGCAGCGGGGTGTGGGGTGCATTAGCTCAAGGCGTTCATACTGGTTGCCTCCGATGGCGGACGAATAAGCGTGCGGTGGCGTGTCTCATGGTAGCGATACAACGACAGCCTAGCTCTTAAGCTTGAGCAGTTTGCATCACGTGTTGATGGGGCAACTCGTCTGGACGATCTAAAGAGACGCAAGGAGGAGGAGAGCTAGCTCAGGCTCGGTTGCGGTGCGCGCACCAAAGGCGGGGTAACAGACCAAGGCTGAGTCTGTTGCGACCTGCTCATCCTCAACAAAGACGATAATCTTGATGAAGGAGAGAGTGGTTGCTAATCAGGGCACGGCTCGCTCTGGAAGATGCGTCGGATCGGTCCGAGTGCGGAGCGTGTGAATCGACTCGTGAGGCGATGTCATTGCGTCCGGCTAATAATGAGGGTGGCGTATTGGCAGCGCAATGAGGACCGACGCCAAGCCAGGCCAAGTGTTGGAGTACTTTGGTGCTGCGCGAGTCAGGGGCAGCAAGATTGGAGGAAAGCCAAGCCCGGTCATGCTGGTGTGGATGGAGCGAATCACCACGGCCAAGACAGGGGCTTGGCGGCATGAAAGCTGGGCTTCGGAATTGGCCGACTTCGTCAATGCACGCTACACGCTACGGCGATCCGAGCCCGGCGGGAAGCCAAGCCAGGTCGGAGCAGCGTTTGAGCCGCTGAGCGTGTGTATGCGGTCCGGCTAAGACGATGGAAGCCCAGCGTACTCGTAAATGGAGCCGGAAAGCATGCTGCCAAGGACGACGAGTGACCGCCCTGCGCTCTGCCTCCGCATCACAGACGACACAACATCTAGCCTACACTGACGCCGACGTCAATCGGAGCTTGGCTCCATCAAGAGGCCGGGAGGTAGAGGCGGGCGAGTACGAGCAAAGGCAGGCACGCGTAAATTTGCGGCGGAGCGTGAAAATCCATGCACTCCCAAGCTTAGGTGTACAGTAGGCCTGGCGGCAAGAGTGAGGGCGCCATGGAAGCAGTCAAAAAAAGAGTAGAGCGTGAATCAACCAGATTGCACCCCCCTGCGCTTACAAATTCATCGCTGTGCTCGAACGGCAGCGGTTTCAGCATCGCGCCTGGGCTAGGCCGGGCTTGGAATCTGCACTGGAGCGTAGCCAGCCGAGGTGCCGCGCCGATGGCGATGCGAGAGCACTTGGAACCATAGCTTGCGTCGGGCGTCTCGGCACAGGTCCGTCGGATACAGGACATGGCTGGGCAGCATTGAGCTGCGATGGAGGTGGATGCGACCATGCAGGTGTCAGAGGCGAACGCAGCAGCGCCTAAGCGAGCGAGGCGAGCAAGCAAGCCAAGGGGCAAGACGAGGGGGGCCGAGCCCACCAGCGCTCGCCTGCCGAAAAAGGAAGGAAAGGACGGCCCGAGCTCAGCTCTGCCTTTCTGCCTTTCTGCCTTTCTGGCCTCTCCTGCCTAAATCAGCGCAGACGGCGCGCGTGCATTTCTGTTCGGATCGTCAACATGCAGGTAAAGCGGAGGAGAGACAATGAATGAGAAATTGCCGGCATCTGTCAGGCGTTAGGCGAGACCAACACTCGGGCCGCAGGCACACTCATCCTTGCCCTTTTTGGCACGGTCGGGTTGGAACCGATTTGACTCGCTCCCCGACTTTGCAGACCAACTCAGAGTCGGAGGAAGCGGAGAGCGGGACCGGGAAGCTGGCTCTAGCACCGCCAAGAACCATTTGGATGGTTGCGGTCCGATCCACAATGGGATCGGAGGAGGCGACGGCGATTCGGCGACCCTGAGGTACGGTATATGCGGTGAGGTCTGGGCGAGCGCGCGACAGCTGCACGTCACGGTTCCATGACTATCCACTCGCTCTTGCCGCTCTGGGCTCTGGGCCCTGCCGAAAGGCCTCACCTCGCTGTGCAGGCGAGTCGCTGTCCACTTGCATCAGTCGGATGGGCCGGCAGTGCAGAGCAAGCGAGCATCGGCATATTCTCACGCAGTCCGAGCGCAGCTGCCCACGCCGTCCCCACGCAATGCATGCATCCTGGCTCGAGTGGTGTTCGGATGCTGACCGATTGGCAGGCGGACTAGGGCTCGACAGGCACGAGCTGCATGACAAGCTCGAGCCGGTCGTCGCACCACCTCGATCGAGGACGGGCGGCTGCAAAAGTGCAAAGAGCGCGAACTGCAAACTTGTTGGGTAGGCTCGCGCGCTTCCTGCCAAGTGGCTCGGCGGCGTACGGTGGGTGTTGCTCCAACGTAGGGTCCATGCGAACGTCGCATTACCTCGACGCCTTGTAGACTGCCAAGCCAAACACTGCCCACTTTACCTCGTCACGATCCCAACCGCCCTGAAATCTTGAGCCTCGGCCGGCTGTACGGCACCATGCATCGCGCCCTCTCTCCGGCGCTTGTTGGAAGCTGCTTTCGCAGTCCGACACGCACACACTTACACAGCCGCCACTTGGCACAAAATCTTGTAGAGCTTGGTCTCACTGCCCCTGAGTCGAGCAGCCGCCTAGCAGCCGTCGAGCAGCCGTCGAGCATGGTGGCGCTCGCTCTGCTGTGCTAAGCGCCCTTTCAGCACTCTCTCTCTCTCGCTTCGTAGGTCCCTCTTCCTGCCGAGCTCCGGCTGTCACAAGCCTTGGCTCGGCAAAATGACAGCATCGCTCCGCCCTCCCCTTCGACAGCCTCGCCCGCTCTCACTCAGCCCACGTTCAGCAACGACGAACGGCCAGATTGCAGCTGTCTTCCATTGCGCTCCGCTCCAACTCCGCCTAAGCTTTCGTGTGCCTGTCCTGTCCCGCTACGCTTGACCTTCTTCGCTGCACACCTGCCCTCTCTCGCCCCTCCCTTAGGGTCGCTGTACATTCTACACCTCCTCCCTTTCCTATAAAGCCCTTCGGTCTGTTTCACATCTTTCTCCGCTTCTTCCTCATCCATTGCAGCTCTTCGCAGCAATACCAATCCTCTCTCTCTCCACTCCCACTCCCAATCCCCGAAACCCCTCCCCATTCCCCCCACACACGATTGCTACCCTTTTCCACGCCGTTGGCAGCATCACCACTTGGCCACTGCCATCATCCAATCCTCTCAGCTGGCAACATCGCCGTCGCTGATCGCACGTCGCTGATCTGCACCAGCATCTTTCTCAGCACACTACACCACATCCTCGCTCCTCAGCAGTGTCACGCGCGCCGAGATGAAGATCACTTCGTTTGGCCTCGCAGCCATTGCGCTCGCCTTGATGGCAGACAATACCGAGGCGCTGCCGGCCATTCGCAACTACAAGGGCGTCTCGCCCTACGCCGCTAGAAACACGGTCAACCCTCGCATGCCGGCCATGAAGGACCCGCGTTCCGTCGCTGGCGCTCGCCGCATGCGCCTCAGCTCCAACGAGGCGCTCGAAGAGTCGTACCTCGACGAGATCCACTACATCCCCGCCCACGCCCAGCCCGAGTCTACCAGCCAGTTCTGGAACAATGTGCAGCACCGCCTCGAGTCGGCCATCGACCGCCTCGACAAGGCCACCAACATGCTCGGCAGCTACAAGGCCGCCAGTGCAGTCAAGAGCGCCGCCAAGTCGCTCGGCTTCTCCTTCTCCGTCAACAGCCCCAAGCAGGCCGCCACTGCGTCCGACTTTACCTTCAACTTCAACGTGTCGGAGCCCATGTCGTGGGGCGAGGAGGCCGAGCTCTCCGAGGCCAGCCGCAACGACCGCATGATGGACACCACCGCTGCGCTGCCCAACCTGCCGCAGGACTCGGGCTTCGACTACCGCAACCAAAAGGTGCGCGGCGTCAACCTCGGCAACTGGCTCCTCTTCGAGGCGTGGATGGACAGCTCGCTCATGCAGGCGCTCAACGACCACGCCATCAACGCGCCCTATCCGAACCCCATCATCGACGAGTGGACCGCTGGTCTGTACTCGGACAAGGGCTGGGCGTCGTACGTGCTGCAGAAGCACTTTGACGAGTGGATGACCGAGGACGACTGGAAGCAGATCGCCGCCGCCGGCCTCAACCACGTGCGCATCCCCGTGCCCTACTTTATGTTCAGGGAGGCCGTCGGCCCCAACGCCCCCTATCTCACGCTCAACCGCTTCGCCAAGCTCAAGGAGGGCGTGCAGCTCGCCAAGAAGTACGGCCTCAAGGTGTGGATCGACCTGCACAGCGTGCCCGGCTCGCAGAACGGCTTTGACAACTCGGGCCGCTCCGGCCCCATCAACTGGGCCAACAACCCGAGCTACTACACCCAGACGCAGTACGCCTTCAACCGCCTCGTCACCGAGTTCACGCA